CTATAACCACAGAGAAAAAAATGCTGTGACATTTCCTTTATAATAGAGAAACAAAGCTATAAGTGGCTTTTTTTATTAAGAATATAGTAAAACTAGCTAATTTGACTAAACTATATTTTTCCAAACTAAACTGATTCCATAGTATGCCTACATTGAAATTAAGAACAAGCTTACATATTGCTTTAATTTAAAAAAATTTACAATATAATTTTGTTTTTCTGTTTCATTACTTCACATCAATAAATGGAGTGCACGAGTCTCTGTCCATAACAAAAGGAAAATGTTAGTGCTGAAATTGTATAGAAGAAAACTACGAGAAGTAAGAGCAGGGAGGTGTTGGAAATACTGGAACAGTACAACAAATGGAGAAAATTGTGAGCAAAGGCTAGAAACTCAAAGAATGTGTCAAGGCAAATCAAATAACTAAATCTCTAAAAGTTTACGAAGAACCATGATACCGTGATTTTGCAATAAACTTTCAAATGTTTTATTGTTCAGTTACTTACAGTATCCTTTAGGTTTTAAGATTCATGATGATTGTTGTTACATAAGTTTTTACCTTAGTTTTATTTTTTTACTTTCTCCCCCTATACATTTAAATATGGAGAAAGTGTCGTTTTCGTTAAAATTTTCGAGTTTGATTTTTGAGTGGATATATCAATTTTGAGTCCCCCTGAACCCAAAAAAGTGGGTTTCGAACTTGTAAACCACTGTGTGTCTGCGTGTGTACAGAGCTACAGACCACACCTGTAGTCCGATTTTGATGAAATTTGGTATGTAGGTACAAATTCATGGTATTTCCAGGCGTTTTTTTCATTTCTTTTATTTAAAAATTATATATAAAATATTTACTCTCACCGTTTATGATAAAAGGTTGATGACAAGCTTATGGGAGAAAATATGTGTCAGAATGCTGATACCATTTATTTCTAATTGTACATACTGCACGTTATATAGGTAAATAATATAAAACCCATATACTTTGTTGTGTTTACGTAATTAAGAATGTCATTCGGATTCAAAGATTCAAAATGTATTGTGAAAAAATATCTGTTTTCATCAATTTTGTTTTAGGTGCATTAGGAATGATTCGGTTTTATGACTTTTAACTGACTACACTAATACCATTGACTATTGGATACCGAAGTTGTATTAATAGTCAAAGCTAATACCATAAACGCTCAAATGGAAACATATTTTTCTTCAATTCTCCCACTTGTTATATACATTAGGAAACTGGTGGCGAGGAGCAGCAGTCCGGGATCCTTATCCGAGCTACGTACGAGACTTGTTCTTCACACGTTTTTTCTCCACCTCCGTTTCGGTGGTCACGTCGGAGCGTCGTCAAGGCCGAAAGACAAAGCCGAAGGTTGGTGTCCGAGGCGGAACCGATGGACGTGCGACAACCTGCCACCGTGGAGCGATCAAGCCATCCACTGAGGGTATAGACCAAACACCAAACCGATACAGCTGTACTGTACAACCTCCGACACAAAGACAATGTCGACAACGCGAACTGCTAAGCACTACTGCACAAAATTCTTTTTTTTTTTTGTAGTTACCATTTTCTCAAAATGTAGGTATTATAGACATTAAAATAATAATGAAAGAATTTAAATTAGCAAGAGTGATGAGTGTGCTTTGCATTATTGTCGCTCGAAATAGAATAAGGGCCAAACTCGAACTGACAAAATAAACTTTTTTTGTGTTGTGGCTACTCTCAAAACGTATATGGCCAGTATACGATCATGACAATTGAAATGGTCAGGGTATCTGTATATCTGTTGCTCAGAATAGAATAGATGCTAGACACAAACTTAACAACAAAAATATTCTTATGAGTCAGAGCACAGAAAACGTACTACTCAGAGGTAGAATGGTGAGTCTGTGTAGCTATGTTACTGATCAAGATCAGCTTCATTAGTAAGGATAATTTATTTAAAGCCCAATGAGAAATAGCTGGGTCCAGTTTTGAACCACCAAAAAGATACTCAATCAGATCAACATATCCACTGACTAGATTTTTAATCAATATTATCTCTCGCTCTGGTAGTTTCACACAATTTCCAACTCAAAACTTGTTTGGCGAATCCTAATTGAATGCTACTTTAACTTACAAATGTGCATTCAGTAAACCAATCCACAACCAATCCTACCCCCTCAGGGGCCTAACCCATTACTGCACATTTCGTCCAAATGTTTGTAAAATTGAGCAATTATATTTGTCACTGCCATGGGCGTCCAGTTGAAAAACCGGTCTGAAAGAATGTCCTTCACTGCCAGTTACAAATGCTAATAATCCAATTTTCCCTTGTGCGGAATGTGTTTACTTTTCCCGCCCGAAATTGTCTACGAGGGCGGCAGCGGACGTAATGTGACATTTAAATGTTGCGTGTCGCGTCCATCTACACTACAGGGTTCCATAGTTGCAACTCTTCTTGTTCAACTGTTCCTGGAACAGGAACGGTTCCAGGAATGCAGGAGCTGGTATCAGATGAACCTGTGACCGCCAATAGCTAGAGAAGAGGCCATTAAAGTTACCCTACTTTGGAGTCTTGGGAGTGGCCTGGTGTAACCTAGCCTTCTTGTCTTATCTTCACGCATTCCTTCTTCGTTTAATGGCTTACCTGACCTGCCCGATTTTGACAAGTTCGATGCTTGGGTGGCAACTTTGACATATTTGTTTGTTGATGCAAAATCTAAATAGGTACTGAGTAAAAGAACAAACTGCGTTTTACAATCATCCTATCATAAAAAAAAAAACATTGTTGTTATTTCATACCATAGACAAATATTTGTCGATGTTCATACATAGAGTTATCATAAAAATTAGGTTCGTCTGAAAACTATGGTAAAACAGGAGATTGCTGTAAAAAGGTTGGTAAAAATGTCCCTTAGAGGAATAGAATACCGTCCATATAATAATTTCAGCCTAGGACGTACGAGAGATGTTTTAAAGGTTGGTTACTCTATGATAATTATATAGCTATAATTAATATGGCTGAGAGTAAATTTGTAGTAATTTGGCGATTTGTTATAAATCTGAATAATGTATAGTTATATTTTTTTAGAGGTAACCAATAATTTAAACCAAATTAGTAATAGAAAATTGTTTATTTATGTTTCACGGTCAGCTGAACAAATACAAATATTGGCAAACACAAGTCAAAATTTAGGTTAAATTACACCGTAATTTCAATCAATCATGAAGTCTGTGCATTTTAAAAACGCAAACGACGCGAAGGCGACGAACCCTAAGAAAGACAAACCTATACAACCTATCAATAAAAAACCTACGGTTGACTTTGAGGAATCGAAGATTGCAAATCAAGCTAAACGCGATGACTCAGAATGGGTCCCGAGTAGAGATTGGCACACGTATTTAAGTAGTCAGCAAACTGATGATCCAAAACAGTTTCTCTGGGAAGGCAGTCGAAAGGACGACTTGAACGCAAACGTAGAAGACCTTATGCTGACCAAGCCAACTGATAGGCTAGTCGATATAAAACTGCCTACAGTCAACTTTTGCTCCAAAGATAGAATAACTCCGCGTCAACAAAACGTCACCATATCGGATCTCGGAGACGGAGACAAGAGTAGAATAGCGCAGTTGGTGCAAGAGTTGGCAAGGTGCAAGCAAGAGAAACAGGAAGACGATGAGACAATACTCATGTTGAAAAACAAAGTGACTGAACTAAAAACATCAATGAGGAAACTACTATCGAATCGCAGCCCTGAGACTAAAATATCTAAAATAAAATCCCAACACGAAGTAGAACAGCAAGCGTTGAAAAATCAGTTGTCCGAATTGAATCGGCTGATTTACCAGACGCAAGTTCAAAAAGCGACCACAGAAGTTCAATTGAGAACCATCGCTACCCAAGCGGAGAAGATGACGAAGATAATACATGAGATGCACCGGGAAAATACTGATCTCCAAGTCGAGCTGAGGGTCACGAAAGAACGTTTAAGTGTAGCTCAAAACGCTGTTGAGAAAATTACCAAAGATTTGCAGAGTGTTCAGAACCAAATGAAACCCACCATGGAGGATAAGGCTTGTCAATCCGTAGAAGACCTTGGATCGGTCAGTGTTCAAACTGAACAACAAACTAATGGAAACAAATTTAAATTCGGAACAAACAACTCCGATGACATTCCGGAAGACCAACGCATTCTTTGTGAGTTGTTCTTTAATAAATCTATGCAAAATGAATTCGCACCGAAAGAAACCGTTATCATTCTTCCTTCTGATTCCATCCCTTTTTTTACTAAAGATTAGGCGAAACATTATTTTGTGTCGGAATTGTATTTATTTTATGTATTTTTATGTACACCACTATATATTATACACTGATAAATATTTTATTACTTATTTATATATGTGGGCTTTAGTTTTGTGTTTTATCTACAGTATAGCATAGGTACATTTTAGCGTTATTTGTAAAATTTCCAACAATACATTTTGAAACCAGTTCCTAGCCGTATTTATAGTTTACCAAGCTAAATGACGGTTTCCAATACATACAGAATGGTGTAGTAAACTATGCGATAAATACACAGTAGGTAAAATTGTGTAACTCATATGCAGCTAGGCTTAGAAAGGTTGTGAAAGCTAGACAAATAATGATTTCACTCTTCTAGCGAATTAAAATTGTTTTGATGAATAAATTATAGGCTCATTGATAAAGGGAATACAGTACTAAAAGAGTATACAGTAGTAAGATCGTAGCCTTATATCGTCGCTTAAATAACATTAGCGTGGCAATCGTTACTACAGACAAGGGAATACCTAAACTACCTACTGCATTTGAAATCATGCATAAACATTTTATTGAACATCCCTGAATTGTTGTGAGAAAATCTTTCTCCATTATCTTCATGCCTTTTTACAAGGCTATCTAACAACAAAACTTGTTTTCTTTTATACCAATTTGTAAATCTGTTACCCAAAGGTCATTCAACTTTCATTCACAATAGGTAGAGGAAGGAGGTTAACATACCAGAAGCTTCATTGTAGTAGACGTTGATGCGTTCGAGCTGTAGGTCGGAAGTTCCTTGGTACTTGCCCGTGGGGTCGATACCGTGCTCCTCTGAGATCACCTGCCAGAACTGCAACAAACAAGACAGCTGTTAGTGGAGGTCTCAAAGGGGGAGAAAATTGGATGGATAGAGGATATAAACAATATATGGCTTTCCATGATGGATCTGGAAGGTAAGTTTATTAGTTCTTTCCTAAGGACTTGAGCAATCAAATTCTACAAGACAGAGGAATATTATGGTTGTCTGGGACCCAGGAAGTCACATTATCTTTTTGGGATTTTAACCAAATTAGCAACGCTTTACTTTATCATACATCAAGCAAAACTGTTTATGATAATACAGTTGTGGATATTGAAACTATAGGTCGGCCGCTTAGAAAACGACCTCCTCCAGCATTGGTTTAGCATTAGCGCGCAGGTCGTTTTCTAAGCGGCCGAACTATAGTAAGGGATTGCTTGAAATACTGGTCATATTTACCTCGGCGGGTTACTGTTTATCTTAAAATACTCTCAATTGTTTTACTAGAAACGTAAATGTTTTAAGAAATCCACTTCCGAAATATTCTTTCTTGGCTGTAGTGTATTAATAGTTTGTAGGGTTCACTTTCTTTTTGTGTATTTCATTGTAAAACAACATAGCAAAAATTGTTTCATAGTTAAGAATTTATCTATCAAAAATCTGTAGCAAAATACAGGTCGTCTATCAACTATATATCCGTATGTACCTTGACATTTTAATCTATATCCTTGCTGTCAATCCCATTAGTTATCCAGTATCATTAATCCTATAAAAGTCCAGTCAACAGGCAATTACTCCAGTTGTAATGACAAATGCCAGAGCAGGCCGTGGACGTGGTCTGGGTAGGAATGACCCGCGGTAGTAATAGTGTGGTGACGGACTAACAAACTAGTTAATCTTGGAATTGTCGATCTTTTCAGTCAGGATATGTGTTTGAAAAACTGATTGTAGTTATATCTTTTACGACTGTTAACGTCCGTTATATCCATTAACATCATTAGGCAATAACTTTATACTTCCACTATGAATAGTTGTCAGTATTATCACGCACAAAAAGTAATTAGTCGGCTATAATCAAATTTACATATGGCTCCCCAGAAGCTATGCTCAGGACTATGTCCCCTTATAGATAAGTAGGAGACTAAAGAAGACATCTAGCAGCTGGAGATTGTTTGACTTGAGTGGTATCAATGTAAATAACTCGAGACAAACAGGACTGTCTGTTTGTCTGGGCCACTACAGACTACAGATAAACAGACATCACTTTCTCAGTTACTGTGTCTCGATCGATCACTTGTTATCACGACACTGGCCAGGCAAGATAACATTTATAAAGTGACTAATTTAAAATGGAATGTAGCTTACTGATCACATAATCCACAACCCTTAAAAGTGAAACGTCGTGCAAACTTTACTGTAGATATACATTGTCCAAGCAGTTTTCTAGTTTAAAGGCCTCTGATAGGCTGATAGGCTGATGGATAGGCTGATGGTAGAAGGCCGTGAATGCGAATGTTGGACCTAAATAAGTTTTTTTATGTGGTTAAGGTAAATTACGCTTATCAGCTAAACTAGTTTTACTCTTGATTTCCTATTGGGTTGTTCAACAACAAGGTTCTGTTCTGATGGTCAAAGATGCACTGTTTCCAAACAACTACCGTGTGTATTAACACGTTCAATCATTCCGCAGACCAAAACCAACTACTTTCACCGACCGTTGTAGAATTTTTCCAACATTCCACCAAGTAACAATTCATGTATACAACCAAGCCATCCTTCTTTCACAGACGATTTACGACCAGACACTTCGTGGTATGTCCAATATATTGGATCGTTATAAGATTGCAATAAAATGGTTGACAACATCCTCCAATTACAACCAGTCCAATCTCTAGAGAACGACAGAGCAATCTACGTCTGCGTTCACCACTTCCACTTCTACCGTACATCCCGTGGCGGCTGTTGCTGTGGTCATGGCTCATCGGGACAGATCGACGGGAAACCTCGAGATTGCAGTTAACTGATGAAGCGAAGAAGTCGTGGAGTTTTGTCTCTTGAACACCGACGGGAAAGTTCAACGTTTCGGAGAATGTTTGTTTCAGACAAACCATGGTCTTCTTGTATGGTTTGCCAACTTACGAGTTTGTACTTGAGTTCTGATTGAACGTGAATAGTAAATTAATTTTAAAATCTTCAATATTTCAGAGGAAAATTGACAATTCGACAAATGGGGTCAGTTATGATAACGAATGAATTGATATTGTTGAGTGTTTTGCTACCGGATTGGTTACCGACTTCAGTCAGAGTAAGGTAGGTTTGTTCCTGGCATATCCAGAAAAGTTTAAATAGTTTTTGGCTGCTTCTTTTTAAACATGTTTGTGGGACTTTCGATGAAAATTCCACGGGTGTAGAGGTTAACAAAAATTGTATATCTCCTTGGTTTAGCTTCGAATACCTTTTTTTGACCTTTTAAACTACATTCTCTGCGACTTGACTTTTTTTTACAATATCACATTTCAATAATTCCGTTTCTCATTAGATCCATAAAATTCTTCCTTACAGCGAAGTCAAGTACTGCATGGGATTACGTTTCGAAGTTAATGAAATCGAACCCACACAAAAAACATTACTAAGTAGTCACCAACCCATCTCTACCAAACAAATTCGTTTCACCAATTCAACCTGGGAATCCTCAAGCCAAAGCACTTCAATGATTCTTATCAGATGTTTCAAGAGGAGCCTCAGTTGAAGCAACAAGAGGCTCTTGAAGATGAAACTCGAGCTAGGATATTTATACTACTTTGAGTTGCACTCCAGCTGGAAGTATTTATACTTCTCCAGCTCCAGCGCCGCCACGTGGAATGTCGCGGTTATTCCAGGACGTTTCCGGGACGCAGTAACTCACGTCGCGACGTTGGAGGTCACGTTTGTCACAAAGACAAAAATAAGCGAGATGAGGACGAGACGTTCAGAGACTACAAAGCCTCTTTCTCCTCCTACGTCTATTTGTACTCTTTCCACTCTACTTCGTCTCGTGGAAACATACTAAGTATATTTAGATTGTTCAACAGTGCATTGCACTATTGAAATGCTTCGTGATTCAAGTGTTGTATTTTTAACCTGTAGAAAGTGCATTAACATTACAAGTTTGCTTATACAGTACTGGCAAAATATTGTTATTTAAACTATGTTTAAACTTAAAGGTTGCATTGTCGAACCGGTCCAATTCTGCATCTACCTTTAATCTAATATTTGATATGTATCTTTCTGTCTCTTTGTACCTAATTATTGTTTTTATACCAATTGGTGGAGTATTTTTTATCAACTGGTTTCACCATAGATTAAAGGAGTAGACCTCTAATCTATGGTGTCTACTATTTGATATGTATCTGTCTGTCTCATTCACCTAATTATTGTTTTTAAACCAATTCGTAGAATTATTTTTTATCAACTATCAAATAAGTTTAATCATACATATACACACTGGTTTATTTAATGTCGTTGGTGAAATAAAGTGAGATGACTTGTAGCTGTGACAATAAAACCTTGACGAAATAGATCAAACACCCGTTCAGTAATTGCATTATTCTCGTAAAATCAGTAACAATACAATCATGTAATTTATTTACGAAATTCTTCACTCGATAAAACTTAGTTACTGATTGTCTTTCCACTTGTTCCAACATTTTATGGCTGTACAGTAGTTGGAATTCATTTTACTGGTGGCATTCCCTTTATATGCTTGAAACACAGTCGTTACACTCAGAAAACTAGGTAGTTGATGCGTGTAATTAGTTCTTACACATAGATTGTTCAACAGTTTTGACTTCAAAAATGGTATGCAAATTTTCATAACGTTTCTTTAAATATGAAGACTTATCCATAAAAACAAAAAACTATACCGCACATCTACAACCAAACACCAGAACACGCCTACAACCACTATACGGAAAGAGATCGAGCACCTAAACGATATATCGAGTTCACGATTTTAACCTCTTTGGAATTCCTTTCACATGGTCTGATACGATCAAACTGTATATTCATATGAGATTGGGCTTTGCTCCAGATCATCGCAGGGAAAGCCTAACCTTTCTCTGGCACACATCACTTCCCTTGGGCCTTCACGAAAATGAAAGGATGCGAAAGTCCACGATTAGATTTGGAGGTTTGAAATGATTCTGTCTGAGATATATGTGACGGTAGCTTGATTTATCATGGAAATTGATGCAGAAGTTGTTAACATACTCTAGAGATCACATAAACTGCAATCTCTTAGTCTAAACGTTTAGTTTGTGAAGGATGATTTGATTTCAATAGAAGCTGCATCTGTTAAACTAAACTTCTTGACGTTATGTGAATGTATTACAGTAAAGAGAGCTTATTGTAAATACATATTTGGACTTTGTGAATTGATTATGCTTAACTTTAAGATTAAATTTAGCATTAATATTTCCATGTAGGCTAAGCAACCACATATTTGACAGTTTGGGTGCTAAATTTAATATTGAACACGATCATGGTTAAAATCACAAACGTTGACGTGTATTATAGATTTATGAATCAGAAGCAGTTATAGCAATTTATTACTTTCAAACAACCATTATATCTACAACTGTGTGAAAGCCAGCCATTCTCTCATAACTGTTTGATAATTAAGCTTTCGCTGAACTAATTAACACATTAACTGTACAATAATTATCATATTCATTATGAGACGACAAATTATTGCATTTTATTAAAACATTTAATAGAATGCCTGACCATTATGAGTTATCTCTTGCAAGAAACCACATTATCATGGTCTTGAATAATTTTGAATATAGTAAAAGGTAATTAGCTACTAGGAAGTAGACAGACAGACAGACAGACGGACAGACAGATAGAGGCAGGTCGGAATCATGGCCTATTTGACTAATTGCATGTAATTCCCTTCTAGTCAATTAACGTAATTGTTCCTGTCTGAGTTGTTATGAAAGCATTTGGTTTAAATGGTAGATGTAAGATTCAAAAAGCTTAAGTAATTACTATGAACCATTTGAAAATGCATA